GCTCAGACATGAAACTGTGTGAAAATAGAGTTAAGCTATTGAATGGAGTACTCGAAGTGAAAATAGGAAACTCTATGTCGATCTCGCTCTCTCTGTCTCTCACTACACTTGAAGAAACACCAATTGATTACCATATAAGATAAGATAAGAATACTTTACATTATATATGAATAACTCAATCAATGAAAGCATATTTGATATGTTGAGCAGTCAGCCTTTGTAATCTTAAACAACTGCTCATTGCATCTCTCAGCATCTAAACTCAACTGCCTCCTCATTTTCTCTCAGTGCACTTGAGTAATTTAGTATGCTGTAAGCAAGATTCACATTTTAACTGCTCAGCAGTCAGTTGTCTGTTGCCATAATTACGAACCTCCCAGAGTCGCTGCCTATGCTGAGGAGCAGCTCTGACTCACTGCCTGGGTCTGCGTGCTGTGCTGTGCTGTGCTGTGCAGTGTAGTAGCCGCTGCCGCTTTAATGAAAATGGGCGCCCATTAAGGTGGCCCCAAGGCGTGCAAATTGACTGCACATCGCTGCCCGGCCAGCCCTGGCCACAACTGTTTGGCTAACTTATCTATCAGCAGAGCTTGTTCTATGCAGTATAGAACTCGTTGCTAGCATTTTGTCATTCCACGGCACATTTCCGGTGCTGGCCAAACAGCAAATGTGGTGCACCTTATCGCGCGTTGCCAATTTGCAATTGCTCAAAAATATAACAATATCTGAGCTTTGCAATGCTAAGTTACGTAATGTATATTGAAATATATAAATATATGTGTGTGTGCCCCTTTTCACTTGCTCAATGTCGACTGTGTGAGCTGTGGGGCGTGGCAGCTGTAGGTGTTGGCTAATTAGTATGACAGACATTGTGTATATATGCTTTACATACAATTTACATTTGATTTAACAGCTGAGTCAGCTGCTGCTGCTGCTGCTGCTGCTGTATTGAGTCTGTCCATGTTATCCTGAACGTGACATGATATATGTCAAAACAAGTTGATCACAAATGCCGCACGCATGCAACAACAACAACTACAAGATCGACAGACAAAACTGCACAGATACAAAACAAGTTAAAGTACTCTAAACGGCAGTAGACGACTAAGAGATACCCTGACTCTGTATACTTGAATATTATCACTGATTGCAAAGTGCAAATGTTATCGATAAGCTTGACATAAGATGAGCAAAGAGTGGAGAGAGGCACAGCTAGATCGACTCGTCTACAGAGTGTGCTCATTATAGAGTAAGTCATGGCTTCCTCAGCCTGTTGCATACACTGCAAGAAAGGCATTGTGCTCGCTTTACACTGCTCGAAGGGTTCAGGGCGCAAACGCGCTAAGCCGCTGATAAGCCAAAGATATAGACAAACCAAAACATCAGCAACTGAAGTTTGCGTGCTTGAAATTTGCTGTTGTTGTATGTAGTTAGTTGTTGTTGTTGTTGTTGTTGTTGGCAATGTTAACATGCAGCAAAACGTGTAAAATGCTCATAAAGGGGCCAAGCCCATGCTGTGCAGTGTCTGCCCCACGACTTATCACAAACGTCTTATCAGCAGGCGCATTTGTCTCTGCCAAAACGACGACGACGACGACGTCGACGGCGCGAGAAAGCCAGCCAAAGGCCAACTCAAGCCAACAGGTGTCTATGTATGCAGGTATTTGCCTCATTATCGCACCTCACAGTTTCTGCACAGTTTCTCAATGAGCATTCGCAGTAAAATTTGTTTCAAATGCTTTAAGCTTTACCCAGTGTTGTATAATACCTGTGCAGTGTTGCCAAACGGAGTGTTGTTCATAGAGCTGTCCGCCTTGAGTCGTTTGATATGACGAAAAAGTTGAGTATTAAATTTAGTAGAGCAAGACCTATGTGCATATGCTAAGAGCCGACTCTAGAGAGTTATTTGACTGAGTTCAGCAAGTCAACGATCTTAAGCATACTCTAAACGAGCTCTCTTAACTTCTTGACTTTATCTACTCCTATTACAGCTATTCACAATGCAATCAACTGCAATCCGAGCTATTGCAACACTTATTCGCCTTACTTTACCATTATACAATCATAAAAGTTCACTTAAAGTTAATTTACACGAACTTTAACTATGGCAATTATTAATGCATGGACTGCAAAGTGGTTTCAAGTATTTTTAAATACCCTAGAAATAGTTTGACTGATCTGATGTGACGGCTAGAAGAAGGCATGCACTTGCTTAGCATTTATAAGCAATCGATAATTATGTATCGAAACTCTATATGTTGAATAGACTATTAAATAAATATTATAAAAATCGATTTTATTTAAGTTTGCATTGTTAATTTGTTTTAAATATAATTTAATCGATATATTATTAAATATATTTTAATTTCGATAAATATCGATGATTCATTTACATTTTATATGAGCTAAAGTCCACTACTTTCGTTGTCTATATAGAGCGACGTTCCCAGGCTCAACTAAGAAAGCAGGGTATCTGTTAGTCGCATGCTGTCAACTATCGCTCACTTGCTAACTATTTTCTCGCTCGACAGTTGTGTACCTAATGAAAGGGAGCGCTGAAAGAATGATTTAACAGCTCGGTCCCACGTCGATAGCGACAAAACAAATCGCAGCGTAGCTGTGAATTGCCTTAACAGCAACTGGCAAGCACACACACACGCACACACACATACACATATATATCAATATATATATAGATCAATAACTGTATAGCTCAAGGCATGGCACAGCTTTCAGCGCGGCGCGTTCAATCAATTTCAATTGCGAGTGTGCGACAAGGTTCGATTTCTTTCTCTTTTCTTTTTGTGGTTTTTCTTAATTTTCCAAATTGGAAACGCGCCGCACATTAATTCTAATCAATTTTCAGGCACTTGGCACTAAAAAATAAGTGCCCAATAACCGAAGAGTGTGAGAGGGAGCGTAGCCATGGGGCGCCACTTAATCAAACTGGGGTAGGCTGAAGGACAGCCAGTCCCACAGGAGGTATAAATATCGATAGGACTTTCGACTCGCTCGTAATTAATATTGGAGGAGACACACATATCTGGCTTTGGGCGACGATTAGATTTCATGTCTGTGTGTGTGTGCCTGTGTTGGCGATAAGTTAATCAGGGTCTTATCGGAGGGTCATGCCTAAACGTTGACCTTCAATTTGAATCCGATGGCAGGCGAACCTCAGCTGCACAGTCAGGTGCGTCGGAGCCGCGACGTGCGTGGTCCTGGCTGCAGGATGCATGCGTCGGGCCGATTTATATTTATAGCTCTGCGCCTTTTCAATCAAAGGCAATCAAAGAACCAGAAACAACTTCTATTAATAACTGATTTGTGCTTTAATTGCAGACGGACAGCTGTGCGGCTGGGCCAAGTTTCAGTGCTTCAGTTCTTCAGTTCTTCATTAATTGCGCACAGTCAAGGGCATGCTAATAGAGCCGCTGCTGCGTCTCGTCTCTCCTGCTGGTCATCTTCAATCTTTTCCGCTGTTTGCATTTTGAAATCTAAGCTCTAGTCACGCCCCTCGCTCCAAGGCATAACCGGCTTTCGCTCCAGAGACTGGCATTTGGAGCACATTCGTTTTACTCTCACCTGTGCCGGCAATGATGGATGCACCTGCACTGAATACCCTTTAATTATGGCGTACTTAATGTCAGCGAGTGTTTGCCTAGAGCCTGTCTCATCTAATTAGCTGCTGCACTTGCCTCCAGCTCTCACCTGGCCAGCTCGTGCTCAGGTGCAAACTAATTTATTTCCATTTTAGCATTCAACTTGTGCAAACAAACCAAATTTGTTTAACAGCTCCAGTTGTTTGTTAACAACGATAAACGATTGCTATAGCTTCAAGGTTAATGCCAGTTAAATCGCGAGGGCTGCTTCCAAAGAACTCTATATACTCCTCCAGTAACAATTAGAGCTACATTATCAACTAATCAAGAAGTTTATTAAGCAATCACCGTTTCACTGCATTTAGGCATAATAAATCAGCTAAACAAATTTTGGAAAATTACTAAGAATTATATGAACGGAGAGCTTTACGAATAATGAGCTCTATAATTCCTGCTTAATTTCAAGATATTAAACTTTTTTTGCTACAAGCGAGTTTTTCATAAAAATGTATTTTTGTTGTATTTTTTAAGATATTTTTTATTGTTTTGACTTTTACCTTTTATTATTTTTTGCTATTTAATTGTTTCTTTCTTTTTTAAATCATATAATTCTTATCAATCTGTATACTTTTATTGCTATTTAAGATCCCGCTTCCTGCACTCCTGTTGGCTACATTTTTGCCACGTTCAAAATTCCTCAGAAATCTTATCTAATCACAGCCAAAGCGTGTGATAGCAGGGAACCACTCGGAGGCACTGATGAATTTATTGTTTTCTTCAGTTTATATATATACATATACATATATATATATATATATTTTTTTTTTAAGCATGACGGCCTGAGCAGCTGTTTAGAGCACGAAGCTGAGATATCGCACTTGGGCAATAAATATAACTGGCACATCAAACGCTTAGGCGAAGGTGATAACCAATGCAAAATTGCGGAAACTGCGGCAACTAGTGCCATGTGGCAAGTGGCAAGTGGCAAGTGGCAAGTGGCAAGTGGCAGCTGCCTAGCTAAAAACGCGTCCAATTCAAGTGTTTTTCCTCTTCTTTTTGAGAGATAGCCAAGCAGATCCGTTACAATTTCCTGGGCGCAGACACGAAACGCCGTTTAACACGGCTGTCACAACAGCAAGCAGAAGAAGAAGAAGCAGAAGATGCAGCAACGATACGAATGGGAATGGGAATGGGAATGGGAATGGAAATGGCTATGCCAATGGCTATGACCATGGCTATGGCCATGGCTATGGCTATGGCTATGTCTATACGTCTATTGCCATGACCGATCCGAGACAGCTTTCGGCTGGTAATGAGTTGTCAATGGCTTTATCGGCGCCTGTGCATCGCATAGATAGATAGCCGTACATAAAGTCAGATAGTTTATGAGCTATGGCTACTAACCGATTTAATGTGAATGCGCCGTGAGACGGGCACATCGTAGTCCAGGTCCGCATTGGTTGCATTCGAGCTGCAGCAGGAGCCAGACATCGAGATGGTGCTTTGTTTGTCCAGCATTTTGTATGCGATCGTAAACTGCTGCGAAGGATTCAATTGCAGGTTGATTTCATGTTTCAATCAGTAGAGATACTCTAATATATATTTAATCCAGGACAATATAGTTCAAGTATCTCAACTCTTGTGCACTTCACTTGTATCTGTATCTCAGCACAATGCTCGGATCAGCATATGTTTTTAACTTTTTTGGGACGGGGGCTTGCGTTTTTGTTTTGACTTTGAGTTTTTCTTCTTTTTTGCGGAATCAGCTTTAAAATTCAAGTTTTGCACGGGGGCCACACGAAATGCGCCGAACGAATCGCTAATAATAATCAATTCGCGAAGCTTTTTAAACAAAAGATGCCCCAACTACAACCGCAAACGCAACAGCAACAACAATAAAAACAACGAATTATTTTTGCCGATTTTAAGCGATTTTTATCGCTGCTTTCTTATTGTCGCGACTTGCTAGCGTTTCTAATCGCCCGCAAGAAAATACAACTTCACACCGATAGCAACGACGAAATTCAGCTCTGCGTCAAACGCTCAACACGTTCCACTCAATAGCAAGCAGCAAAAGATACTGACTAGCGGTTCAGCGTGCGTTCGGCCGGTTGCCGTTTACCACCAATACCCTTACGAAAACCACATGGACTTGCCGAAGCGGTTTGCTGCTCATAGCACAAACAAACTTCACTCTCTGAAAAATATCAGCCACTAATGCACACCAATGAAATGTGAGTGCATACAACTAGCGTATATGTGCACAATTATTTCTTTATGCTCTCGTGGTGGGTCTCTCTCAAACAGCACAACTTCGGGTAGCGTTCGGCTCATATATGCGTACGTCGCTCACGAAAGCCGATTGCATGCGAAGCCAATTCGTTTGGTGGTTTTCGTGTTCGTACTTTTCACTACTATTTCATATGTATTTCTGTATAGTGAAATGGTAGTAGCTGGCTTACTACTATTTCGCATAGTTGAATACCCTTGTTTGATCAAATTGGAACAATTAAGTGGAATTTGTTGTAACTCTAGCAACGTCTATAACTCTATGTGTCCATTTGGGAGTAACTTCATACCGTTTCTATCAGTTCAGTGCCCCATCTGAAATATTTCTTGGTTACATGAGCTACAAACCCATTAAATTCCACTCCGCTATCTATTGTAAGTGAATACGCTTCATATTATATTATCTTTTATTATGTTCGCCATATCGAATGCAGACAGTTTATGAGCAAAAGATGATACCCAAAAAGAACGAGACTTGGGACAGGGGGCGGCTATGGCTACAGTAGCGCCTGCAGCTGTCCAAACAAATCGAGTGGAACAATTCAATTCGTGTCTTTCGCCTGCTCGACTCGTGTCCGTGTCGTCGGGGGGCGTGAAGTTCTGTCGCCTGCACCAGAGCCAAACAATGACACTGGGATAACTCTGCTGACTCCCCTACATGTGAGAGCTGTGCATACGATTACCAAAGGGTAAGCTCGCTCTGTGCTGAAGGTCAGGTCGACAGGCAACTCGTTTCACGAGTTGTTCTGAGTTTCCATTCCCATTCAGAAAAGCAGCACACAACAGAACCAGATTGAGAAGCGCGCTCTGAGGTGCGGCTGCAGCTGCTGCGGTTGCAACTGTGCAGTTGAAAGTGACATTTGACATGATTTGCATGCCAAGTGCCACGCCCACGTCACTCAAACTGACACCCAAAGAGAGTTGACTGGAGTCGAGTCGAGTTGAGTTGAGCTAAGAGTTAGGATCGCTTGAACCAGACCCGCAGCGCTTGACACTCGTTGAGTTTTTATAGTCGCTTTCAGCTTGAATTTGATTGAATTTCATTTCATTTGATTTGATTTGATTTGTAGCAGCCGTTGTGCAGTTGAGCTGGCTTTCTATCAATTAACTTTATTAGCCAGGTCAAGTTCTTATCGCAATCGTTAGCTGGTTTGTTAACCAAGTTATTTCCGTTGCGTGGGCAGCCAGGTATTTCGGACACTCTAATTTGACACTGTCTGTCTCTCTCTCTCTCTCTCTCTACTCTCTTCTGTGGTATGCGCATTATCCTGCTGTAAGGCCATTACCATTTGTGGCATTGTCTGTTTCGGCAACAATAACAGCATGTTGTCCTTTTGTCCCAGTCACGCTCAGCCTCTGGCTGTCTCCATGCTCACTTTTCCATGTCATTTGCTTTTCATTTCCATGCCGTTTTCAAATAACAATTAAATGCTGACCCGCCCGCATTCCAGGGAATTAGTCGGCAAAATTGTTGTTAGCTTGTTAGAGAAGGGTCAAGCTAAGTTATTGGTTGCATTAGGGTGGCAAAGGGTGCCAGCTGACCACTGGCTGAAACTCTAATTGCCTTGTCAGAGTTTCATTTTCGAAAGCATTCGAGCATCTGCTCGAGTTTGAGCTCTCTTAAAGCTAGGCAGCCACCCACGCTTGATATCTTTATGATTTGCCACAATTTTGGGCATTTTAAATATGCAAATGAGACAGCTTCATCTGAGTCTCTCTCGCTGCCTCCAGTCTGCCCCTCGCAACACCTCATAACAAGCTAAAAATGTTTTGTTGTTTGCAATTTGGAAGCTGAATAAATAATATATGTTAATGCGACCACGCACCACGCTTCACAAATATGTCGCTCCTCCCCCTCCCTCCCTCCCTCTCGCTGTCGCCTCACCTGTCTCTCTCGCTCTCTGCTTTTTATATAAACGTCTTTTTGACATTCCATTGCTTACACAATATACACAATTTGTAGGCGTCATATCTTTTATCTGAAAGATTCCGTATTCATTCTCGTTCTGGCACCTGCTTGTCGCAGGTATAAAAAACCACCAGAAATTAGATTGCCAAACAAATTTTAGCAGCTTCACAACGCTCCTCCCCCAACATGCCCATTTCTCAATATCGCAATCAGTGTTTGGCATTTGTTCGCTCTTAATTGTGACATTTGTAAGACCATTCGCTGTAGAATACAGTTTTATGGCACTTTTGTGTTAGCAACCCTCGATGTCAAGGGAACCCCAAGCGAAATAGTCTCTCTAGTCGCACTCTCCCTAGGGCTTCCTCTAACGATGTCTACAGAGAGCGATGCATAGCATCTGTAAACATATTATTATACTAGCTCTTACTAAAGAACTACATTCGGTCAATCAATACATCACAATAGAGGAACTCTTCAAATTGAAATTGTAAGCCAAATATAGTTGCAGAAGAAACATATTATTATCAAATGATGTTCTATATGGAAAAGCAAAGAAATAAATATCCTTCATTATGCATCAAGCAGTCAATCAACAGGCAGTGGGTCAGTCAAACAGGCAATCAATCAGCTTAAAAATGCATAGCTAGCTTCATATATATAGCTTCATATATATATATTCATTATACAGATTAAAACACGAGTCGAGCGGCTTTTACGCCTGGGCCTAGCCATTGTTTATCAATCAATCAATCAGAACAAATTGAGGACCCTCTGACAAGAGCAACCTGTTGGCTAGATAGGTCATAGTGAAACGAGTATTTCCTGCTACACTTAGACATGTCGACTTCATATGAAAACCAGACCAATTCCACATAACGTAGTTCCCTCGGGCATTAAGTGCATTCAATCAAGGAGTGTCAAGCCGCTTGGTTCGCTCCACTCCTCATCCGGCGAGCCGGCATCAGTCGAAAGGCCATCCGACGAGGTTGACTTTCATTAAGATGCCCATCTTAATTGCGCCCACAGCTGCGCTGACTGACAGACGATCCTTTCCACTTTCCAAAGCCCCATTTCGGGCACGTCAGCCACATCTCTATTGTTTTACAGTCGCAAGCGGCAGGGCAGCAAGGGCTGCGAGGGGAGTGGGGCGGCGACAGTCCCCTGATAATTGATGAATTTATGGCACAACATGAAATACTCCAAGTTTTTGTTTCTCTCTTTTTTGGCTATTGCCACATCACTTTTACTGATTGCAACTGCTGCTGCTTATCACGCGCCGCTCAGCTGATGAAGTGCAGCCAGGCGTTTGCCTGTTTCTCTAATTGGACTGGCACGGGTCTAGCTCTGTCTCTCTCCCTCTCAAAACGCCACTTGCCGGCTTGGTTAATAGATTCTGGGAACTACATAATGCATTTTGTTTTCTTTCTATTCTTCTTCTTTCTTTTTTTTGGCTGCTCGCCTCAATTCCAATCTGTGCTCACTGCGCTTTGTTTCCGACATTCGACTCTTGATGTTCGGTTGGCTACTTTTGGGATGCGATTGCTTTGGCTCTTTCATTGGCTCAAGTTGTTGTTGTAGCTTTGATTTCGCATTGCTTTGTGTGTGCGGCACGTTCTGCACATTTTATGGAGCACGCATTGCTCCACAGGCCCCCTAAAGAACTGACCAGATATGAAAATAGCAGCTAATTAACACAAACATTTTCGCTTCTGATGTGTTGATTTAGGCCACAATGAATAATGCAAAGCATGTGCGCTGTGCTGTCTCGAAGAAAACTTCTAAAGATGCTGCAGAGACAATTGAACTGAAATATGCCTTGGCTGATTGAGGATTTTGGCTTCATAGACAATCTGTATGAAATATGCAAGAATATATTGAAGCTCTGAGAATATAGAATATTCAATAAAGCTACATCTCTATAGCTCGACCTCAACTGCAACTCCTTAGTCTCAGCGTTTATTATTAATTAGTATGGATTGCCTTCAAGAGAAAATATTTAATTAATTTACATTTCATTGAGCTACACTTTTCTCTAAGTTCCATTTTATGTTTTCAATTATTTAACTGCTTCAATGGCCCATCATTAACTGCTCAGCGCCCACTCCTGCGCCCACTCATTAGTCCTTTAAGACTTTACCCTCTCGGCTTCTGCTCCAAGTCAATGGCTTAATTGCCCAGCCCAGCGCAGACAATTTAGTAATATTATTAATGGTAAACGTCAAAGAGCAAACGACTTCATGATTGCCAGCTGCGAAAGTCTGAGAGTCTGCGATGCTTGACTTAAGTCAAAGATTTGCGAGCAAAGGCTGTCGGCAAATTTCACACATTGGGCAAGGCCTAAAAATATCCACACAAACATAACATATGTAGAACAGAAAGCAATATGGGAGAGTAAATATTGTGAGGCCTGAGCAAATGGTTGGCAGCTGCGGCGCCTTTGACAATTTGCCGCCTCGCGTTCTAATCTCTGTGGCTGTGGCAATGGCTGTGGCTGCAGCTCCTAATCCGGAGCTGTTTGGCAGTTTCCTGACGCGATCTGCGACCAGTTGCCACCCAGCGATAATAACAAACAATTTGTTTGTTTGCCACAAAAACAGAAATGAAGTTGAAGCAGGCGAGCTGCAGTTGGAGTCAGGGGCACGGCTGCATTTTGCTCGTGTTTGCATAATTCATGAGATCGGCTGCAGTTGCAGTTGCAGTTGCAGTTGCACCCACATGTGGCATGAGGCAACTCCTTCAGTGTAGATCATGCATGGCACAGCCATTCATTACAAGCACATTGCAAATTGAGATACAAAACTTCGCAGCCAAAAACAAATGCCACGATATAAACAAAAGAGTCGAGAGCCACATCGATATGACCGC